CCCCAATCGCTGTGCTGCAGCAGAAGCCACTCTCCTTTATTTACATGAAGGCGCTCTGTGGCTGAATATGCTGCTGAATTCAGACAGTGGGTTGCTGATACTACTTGGAACCAATCAGCCCAGAGGTTCCACTTCAGAAGGGGTCTCTCAGAAGCTATAAAAGATGAACTAGCTTGTGTTGACCTTCCTGTTGAGTTTGATGCATTTGTGCAGTTGGCTATCCGTATAGATCGGAGACTTTCAGAAAGAAGATTGGAAAGACAGGGCTCTTTTAAACCAAGTGCTACTCCTACTTTCTATTCAAGAATTTCTACTCCGACCCCACAAACACCTACAGACTCTGAACCTGAGGCTATGCAGGTAGATCTAATAAAGAGGGCCATTATCCAATGAAGAAAAACAGCGATGACGTACTCACAATTTATGCCTGTATTGTGGTAGTGCAGAGCATTATGCCATCAATTGCCCTAGCAAATCTAAAACAACAATAGCTATGAATGCTGAGGGTGCACAGATTCAACACCAATCCCAGATTTCAGACCAACTGAATTCTGCTACACAACCCTTGTTTTCTCTGGCTCAGGGTGAAGACGGTATGATAACTCAACATCGTCATTTGGTGGTGCCTATCACTTTGCAATATGGTGATAATAAAATTTCAACTACAGCTATGATAGATTCTGGAGCAGGCGGAAACTTTATGGACATTAAATTTGCAGCAGGAAATAAAATTCAGTCTATCCCTAAATCTTCACCTGTGTTAATGGAAACAGTAGTCGGTTCTCCACTTACATCAGGCCCGGTTACACATGAGACTGTGCCCTTAAAATTGATTCTGGAAGTGAATCACCAAGAGTCTATATCTTTCCACCTAATTTCCTCAACACTGTTTCGGGTGATTTGGGGTATACCCTGGCTTGCTGTGAATAACCCACAGATTGATTGGAAGACTAGAACTTTGTCATTTCCTTCAGAACACTGCTTAATGAATTGTCAACTCTCTAATGCAACACCTGTTGTCACAACAATCAATGAAATGGTTGCTACAAACTTAACTAAGCTTCCTCTACAATATCGGGATTTTGCAGATGTCTGTGATAAGAAGAATGCTGATCAGCTTCCACCTCACAGGCCTTATGATTGCCCCATAGAGCTGCTACCTGGAGCTGCTATCCCATTTGGCCATATACTCCCTTTCTGAGCCTGAATTGAAAGCACTTTGTGAATACTTACAAGAAAATCTTGCCAAAGGCTTTATTCGACCATCTACTTCTCCAGTAGGAGCTCCTATATTCTTTGTAGAAAAGAAAGATGGCAGTCTACGGCCATGTGTCAATTACAGGGACATTAATAACATCACTGTTAAAAAACGCTATTCCTTGCCTCTCATTCCTGAACTTCTGGAGAGACTTTGCTCAGCTAAAATATTTGCAAAGCTTGATCTATTGGGGGCTTATAATCTGGTTCACATAAGACCAAATGATGAATGGAAAACAGCTTTCAGAACCAGGTACGGACATTATGAATATCTAGTAATGCCATT